GAAAGCAAGAGCGCTCGAGCACCATCTTCGGATTCACTCCATCGGTTGAGGGACGAATCTGAAGAAGAAAAAGAATAAGAAGCCTTCAATCTGGTGGCCAGAGTGCCGTCACGACTCGAAGGGCAAGGGGCCTCCGAACCAGAGAGAGATGAGGCCGATCCGCCTCAATTTAAGGAGGCCGACGAGGAGGCCATAGCCGAAGCTTCTTGGGATGTGGGCAACACCCCGAAGGAGGCACTTGGTGTGATAGACATCACCGAGTCTCCTTCGTTCACTGAGTCCATGTATAACGAGGCTTAGACGGCGAAAAAACGTCCCAATGAGGGGGAACACGGAGCAGACGACCCCTTCCGCAGCTTTTTTGATGGCGTGGATTCTACCGTCACGGAGGATGTCACCGGGTTGGGTGACTTGGAGGTGCCAAAGAAGATTCCGTCTTCAGGAACAAGCAGGCCTTCTGCAAGCCCGAAACTCATCTATCGGTTCCCAGCTCCGAGTGTGGATCCCGACCGGAAGCGGTCGATCGTTATCTCCATTCCGGAGGATGCTCGGGTTATCTCTGCCCCCGTAGGGGTGGCCAGCTACCTTCAGTGTTTGGTGAGCGAGGAATACCAAGCTAAGATGAACGAGATGGACGCGCCCTTCTTGTTCAATGAAGCACAACAGGCGCTAAACCAGGTAACTTCAAATATCTCTTGATGACTTCAATTCATACTTAGACAAATTTGTAGATAATCCTAACATTTGTTTTTGTGTCTGCAGGCCTCAGTGTTTCATCATGAGACCTTTCTCCGATATCGGGACGAGTTGAACCAGTTTGAGGCCAAGGTCCGAGGGCTCACTGAGAAGAGAAATACTTACAAACTTCTTAACAAGCGGCGTGAAGGGGAGGCTAAGAGCCTCCGAGCTGAGCTGGAGGTGGCTCGGAAAGAGCATGTCGACCTGGTCGAGCAGGTCTTGATACAATTCTAAATACAGTAAGGAATCTCATGATGGGCTAATTAATCGGCCTCTTCTTGATACGTGCCGTGATTTCTGCCGAGATTCTCCCTCTAATTGCGGCTATAATGGCTTTTTTGTTTCTTGGATCAATCTTGATCCTGGCTGATCTCGATCTTGATCGGTCTCTGGGTCTTTGAGCTTGATCTTCATCGGTCTCTGGGTCTCGAGCTCGACAACATATACTTCGTACCATGGCTCGATATTACAACGATGAACCTCGGACCGTCATGTTCCAATCTCGATTAATCATACGAAAGGCAAAATTCGGTTTTGACCGTATACAATTATACTTAGTGCAAATTTAATGTACTGTTGTTGGAGATACTAGCTTTTCCACAATAATATCCAAGCCAAATTCCCTAATAAAAAAGAAGGAAATTTGTATTATGGCAACAAGTTAATAAAAATGTAGCAAAAACTTAGAGAACTTTTACAGATGAACTACGAGGAAAATAAGGCTTTAATTAGGATCCATTGGGCATTGATGAAGTTATAAAGATTAAAAACAAGCAATAAAATATTAAACTCTATGGTGTAGCTTGAGGAAGATGTTGATTTCAGTTAAAAAACTGACACCTCAAACAAATATTAGGAAGCAATAATAAAAAGATAAAGTGATGAACTAATACTTACGTAAGTATCTAGGAGAGGTTTAGAAATAAATTATGATATTAATAAAAAGAAATAATTATCACATTGAAAATGTAAATAAAAACTAGATAGTTTGAGTCTCTTATCATATTATTGTCGTTCTTTTAAAGACAATGAGAATAATACGATTGTAGTTTAATGTTGGACTTAGTCGCATTTTACTCTATCCCCCGTTTTCCTCAAAACTTATCACAACGTCCACACTTTGTAGCCATGCACAATTGAGAAAGATAAAGGGTGTGTTTGGTATGTAGAAATGTTTTCCAATTTTTTCATGTTTGGTTTGTTTAAATATTTTAGAAAATATTTTTCTCGTGAACTAATTTTTCTCCAATTGGAGGATGTTTTCCCTATCAAGANCCCCACCCTAAGTAGAAATATTATTGAGAGTACTTTCTTTTCATGTTATAGATAGAGTATTTTCTATCTATAACATAGAAAGTATGGGGATTTGGGAAATAAAAAATATTCTCTACTCTCTAATCAAACACTAAAAAATATTTTCTGAAAAAAGTTTTTCACTCACCAACCAAATAAGAAAAAATAAGTGATAAAACCATTCATTTTTCAAGAAAAATATTTTCCATACCAAACACACTCAAAATCGCGGCCGAAAAACAACCCAGTAGAGAGAGATATGTATGTCATAGACACACCCCAAGTCAGAAGACATGGTCAAAAGTTGCTCAATACCCATTACACATGACTTCAACCCTGAGCAGTAGCAAAATCTCAAGTTCTAGAAGTATTACAACTTTTATCATAATATTTATTTGATAAATAAATTACTTTAAATTATTTGAAAGTCCCAGGGACATGAGACAACACTATATATGTCAACTGCCTTAGCACAAAAATCGAATAACATAGAGGACTGTCGAAGGGTTAAACTAAAATATTCCATCATTTGCGTTGTCTCCTACTATTTGGTGAATATAGCCAACTCTAAGGCCACTTAAAACTCTTAAAACTTTCGGAATGGTATCAAGATGGTATTACCACTAGGAATCGATAGAGAACAATTAAACTATGATACACATTTAGACAAAATCGCTCACTCATAGCTGTTGGGCCCGGGCTTAGACCGGGCATAACCTCACTAGTATGATATAGATTTCTTAATATTTGACTGCTCCCACTTCAATAGGTAAAGACTCCCGAAGATGACAATAGGATGGATATATAATATTAGTATTGAAAATTTTAATCTTTACGTAGACATTAGTCACAAATATGAAGCTGATACTTGCCAACGGTTTGACCAGACACCCTACTATATTAGCGCCGACACTACAATGGATAAATCAAAGGCCCTTAAGGATTTATTACTCTGTGAAAATTCTTCTTTGCCTTCTACACTACATTTTTCTATCTATCTAATGTCATAAGAGTTGAAAAAAGGAAGAAACCAATTAATGGAAGCTTCTGAATACAGCTGCATTGAGATTGAGATTGAGCTGAAGTTCACCAAGATTAACTAACTTTTGATATTTTATTCTTATTGCTCAAAGTGTACAACAATATAGTCCTAGAACTAATACAACAAATTTCTTCTTTTATGGCCTTCGAGCCAGGTCGTCCCACCATTCAGCATTTTCCTCATCTACCGCACCTTGATCTTCACCAAACTAGCAGCCGTCATTATGTTCGAATTCAATACCTTGGTACCTGCAACATAGCTTCACTCTCCCCACCCCCATCGCACCTCTGCAATGGAGAGTGGAGAGCCACCAAAAAACAAGGAAAAGGATTTTGTTCTTGTGACTACACTTTCACATCAGCAGGGTAGGCAGCAGAGTAACTCAATTGGGTAAAGAAAAAAAAACTAGGCATAACCTTTCGAATTACAATCGGAGACATGCATACATCAAGGACTTGTTTAGGATTTAGATGGCAACCTCCAAAGAAATATATATTTAAATCCAAAAAATAAAACTTTAGAATGAGACGGGTGAGAACTTTGTTTCTGACACATCTACTTTCCAATTTGGAAATACTTTTTAAAAGTGATTACAACATGTGACCTTAACCAAGAAATTGGTATGTTCCATAATCCTTTTGACTACGAATTAAATCTAATACAATTCCAGGAACATTGCTCAAGCAGCGCCAATGAAAGATGAAAATAGGAACTTGTTTCCAATAGCATGTCGAAATCACAACAAAACTAATTCTATGCCCTCATGCCAACCAGGATAGACCACAGACCATAGCAGGAATACATATCCATCTTGATTTCAATTTTCAAAGAACAAGCAATCACTTTCTGATTATGTATAGGAATTTAACAGGCATCACCACTTAGATTCAATAATAGATCTCAAATACAGTGCAAACAATGAACAGGAACCACCAAATAAGCTGAAAACAGATCCAGTATGCTTGAGAAATGGTGAAAACCAAAACTATGACATAAACGACACATGTTCAATTTGGAGCAAGTACAAAGCTAGTATTAGGTTCAATCTAACACAAATCCTGGAAACAGCAACAGCATAGTTATGTAGACAGGATTCTGCTAAGCTCGAGTCACTGATACATCAAACCACCCCTATCACCCACAAGACAACACACACAGAGACACTTGCATTACGTGTGTGTTAACCCGACTGACTTCACACTATCTCCCTTTCCCAAGTTCGCCCACAAAAGAAAACAAGGAAATTAGGAGAGGAAGAAAAGTAACAAGGATCTTCAGATGGTAGAACAATATTGATAATGACAATAATTCCCCAAATACAAGTGGATATTTTCCTGGAGTATATTCCAATAATTCCAAACAAGGTGGATTTAAAGGAACGGCAAACTAGAGTTTTCATTTTCTTCTTTTCTGTTTTGATAAGTAATAGCTATGCCACTGGTTATTGAGACAGCTAAAAAATGCAGGCAAATTGGCAAACAGCATAGATTTTGGTTCTTGATACCACATAACATTTGCAAGTTTCCAGTCTCCCCAACACCAGTTCAGATGTTTACGGACATAATTCTAATAAAAACAATATGCATATATTACCCTTGCTTCAGATTATTGATTCAAATCAGTGACTGACAGCATCAAAAAAGACCCCTCTCTTCACTAGTTATTGAGACAACTAGAAAATGCAGTCAAACGGTGTTCATTTTAGAACTTACTACCACAAAACTTTTGTGCTTCTCAATCTTCCCATCACTGCTCCAGATATGTATGAATTAGTATTGTTTTTATTTTAAATTACTAAAAATTAAAACAATATAGAGATTTTGTTTGCATCGAATATTTTGTTTCAGATCATCAACTATAAAGATCCCTCATAGTCTACATATAAAAAAGCTAAGCCAATAATGGCTATCATATAACATGATAGAAGACCTAGAAGAACTCCATATTCTCCTTAAAAAGATTGCCAGATAGGAAACATACAAGAAACAGGAAGTACGGGTAATATTAGATAGCAAAACTGACATCAATCCACAATACACTAATCAAAAGATACAGCAATTTTTAAAGTAACCTAGTCCTAGCTTGAATCTAGCAAATAGTAACTAACAGCCACACATAGGAGCAGATAGGTGAAGCAGCAACAGATGTACAGCAGTCCATGGCAACAAAGATTTCAGAGTCTGCAATCAGGAAATCAGCACAACCATTTAAAGCATGTTGCGTCCAAGAAGCTCTCAATACACCTGAACAGATATCCATGTACAATTCAATCATTCAAGATTCCAACATATAAATCTTCTTGTGGGCAAACATTTGTAAGCAAACTACTTTCAAAGTACAGGGGACATAAACCACACTAAACAGCATATTGAATCAAGCTATAAGGGGTTCTACAGAAGATGCATTGGACAAGGGCAAATAGATCCACTCACACCCCATGGGAAAACGAACTCTTGTTACTTAATGGAAGTAGAAAAATCACAAGAAATATCAGACAAAATTCATCAGATATGCCAAGTGCCCCAGACGAACAATGGTAAGCCAATGAACTGGGATTTTCCAATCTGTAGTCCCTGGTCCAAATGCAAAACACACATACACACACACACCCAAAAAAAGAGGTCTTTGTAGAATTCAGAATAAAAGATAGAGATTTTACCCAAAAAGAACACACAATGATTACCAAACAGTCAATCACAATTTTTTCTTTAAAAAAAATAGACAGAGAAATGGCAGAATTTTGTCCTCCTAGACAAATTATAAACCAGGCACTCCTACAAAATATTTAAACTACAAAAAAAATGTTGGTAAACCAAGACTCATTAGATAGTTGCTAAACAAATATATGCATCAAAAAATACTAAGTAAAAGCAGCATATTATCACGAATACATGTAAACAAACAAACTGAAAGATTACCTCAGTAGTATGGGGGCATGCCCTGGTACATCCCACCTGGTGGAACCCTGGCCACTGCTCCACCTGGTTGTGGTACCTGTGAGGGATAACCCGACTGTAATCCATAACTACCACCATCTGGATAACCTCCTGAACTAGGCATTCCAGCAGAGCTTTGTGGAATCCTGTAACCAGCATTTCCAAGTCCACCACTGTAATCCCCTGCACCACCACCATAGCCACCAGCGCCAGCATATCCACCAGCACTGCCAGTAAAAGAACCCGGTCCCTGGTTTCCATATCCAGGTCCAACAGGATGTGGATTCTGATGTGCCACCATTCCAGGCTGAGGCGGTGGCTGCTGCATTCCTGGACCAGGCCCACCTGAATACCCAGGATACGGACCCAACCCGCTTACAGGAACACCATAATTAGAACCAGGAATCGATCCAACCCTATCATCACCAGGCATTCCTGTAGGATGTCCAGTATTGGGCATTCCACCAGGCCCCATATTATGCTGGGGCTTCCCCTTCTTATTATCCGTCGCCAATTTGCACAACACCTGATGTCCATCAATCGTCTTCACAGGATCAACTAAAGACGCCCTTGCTCCTTCCTCAGTCTTGTACACAAAAAACGCAAAGCCTTTTGCCTTTCCAGTCTGTTTATCAAATCCCAAAGGCCCCTCTTCAATCTCTCCGTACATGGAAAAGTGATTCAAAAGCTTTTCAGACGTAATCTCAAATGGAACATTACCAACATAGATCTTCCTAAGCGCCACATCAGCCGACTGTGAATTCCCCGAATTACCTGCAGCTGCCAGCTGTGTCACCGTAATACGGCCATCAATTTTCTTGTTGGGCTCCTTTAAAGCAAGAATCGACGCATCCACATGCTTGAAAGTTACAAAACCATAGCCTTTTGATTTCTGCGAGGCCTTGTCGGTTATAACTATGGCCTCGTCGAGTTCTCCGTATGCAGAAAAAACCTGTTTGAGCTTGTCGGTGGTGGTCTCCCAACCAAGACCACGGACGAAAAGCTTGCGCTGAGAGACATCGGCATCGGCGATGGAACGAACAGCTTCGAGGATATCGGGGTAACGAAGGGAGGCGTTGCGGAGGATTGAGATACACTGGTCTTTCGTGAACGGTTCAAGAATTCTGTCGATGTCTTCAGGGGAGAGAACGCCGAGTGCCGGAGGAGCGGCGGCGGTAACGAGTTCGTTAGATACAGGATAAGCACCGCCGTTCTCATCAGCCTTGCGTTTCTTCGTTAGATCCATCGCAGAAACCCTAGGAGAAAGAGAGAGAGAGAAAGTAAACCCTAGAGAGAGAATGTGATTTGGGAACTGTATAGAATGTAGCGAGCTGCCGCTTTGGAATAAAACCCTACAACTACAAGGGAGGAACTGTGTATTTATAAGATTATTACTAGTCTTACCCTATGCAATTTTTTTTAAATTACATAAATATTATATTAAAAATTATGTTTGATATATTGCTTTTGAAGATTTAAAATATTTTAGCTAGGTTCAAGGACATTCCAAAAGACACAAACAAGGTTAGTTAACTAACAAAATATAGCTTTTTTGCGAGAAAAGTGAAAATTATTATGTTTCTTTAATTAATAAGAAATACAATATGACTATTACCGAAAAAAAATAAAAAATCGATAAAAACTTATATAAACCGAATCGATAAAAAATCGATTTAATTGGTTTGATTTGGTTTTAATATTTGTGACTTACTTAGTTTTATTTTTTTTTTTAGGAAAATCGATCCAAATCGAACTATGAATACCCCTACGTTAGACATCCTAGCTAAGAGCATACTTCAAGATATTTTTTTTACATAAAAGATGACACTATTCTTCAATCTACATTAATATAAAGATATTATTCCTTAGCCNTATATATATATATATATATATATATATATATATATATATATATATATATTGGCAAGGTGATGTAGTATCTCTTAGATACTAGGAAAGGCATTTATCTAATTTCTATTTTTTGTGTTTTTCCTTCTATAAAATTTTAAAAAAAATTATTAGGTTTTACCTACAGCTACATGGAATGAGAAAGATGTCGTATCAAACAAGTAAGGTTTAAATTGCAGCCTCACAGTAAATAAGGCAAGGAAAAATACCGTTTTAAAATTCTATATCCATAAATGTCGGCTTTTCAACTTCCAGCATTTTAAAGGTTAAACCTGCATTCACTATCTAATTTGTTGTGATCGTCCTTCACTGGTGAAGAGTGAAAAACCTTTCCATTCTTTCACATTGCTTTTTTCTTTTCTCCAATCTTTATTGTGAGGTTGCTATGCTATTTCACCCAAAGAAATATGAGGATATTATAATTAGTTTAGTGAATATGTTGAGTTTTGTATGTGATGGTTTGTTTTGTTTCTTTTTTTTTTAAGTGAAAACTTTGCCAATCTTTTCACCCTGCTTTTATCTTTTCTCCAATTCTTTCTAATATTTTTTTTTATTGTGAGGCTACTATGCTCTTTCACCCAAAGAATTCTGATTATATTATAATAAGTTAAGTGGATTTGTTGAGTTTTGTATGTGATGGTTTGTTTTGGTATTTTCTTTTTGTGTTTGATCCCCGAAATTCCCATCTTTCACATGTTTAGAATTGTCAGATTTCAATTGCCTTTGTGATACTAATCAGTGAGAATTAAACGTAAAATATTATTGTGGTATATCATTTATTTATGCTTATAAATATTTTCCTTACTTTGTCTCCTACACTCCTGAGCTTTATCTATTTTGTGGTGAATTTGAAATGATGATCAAAGAAATAATACAGTATTCATGTCTAATTCATCAATGTTAGAATGTACTTTTTTCATGTCTAGCCCATGGACACAGTCCCTTTACTTTTTTTTTCTTTTTTTTACGCTTGGAAGAAGAAATATTGAAGAAGTATTTGTTAAGTCCTTACATGTTTTATTCAATGCTGGATATACCACTCGATAGTGATGAATATATTACTTCTTTTAGCTACCAATTTACATTTGGTAAAGTAACTTCTCAAAAAGATTGTCTTACGATGACTTTTAGTTAGCCATTGAAATGCAACAACAACAATAACAACAAATATAGTGTATTTTCACAAGTGGAGTTTGGAAAAAGTAAGATATGCACAGCCTTACTCCTACCCTAGAAGGGAGGAGATGATGTTTCCGATCCATCAGCTAAAGAAGATGATACACATCGGGATAGCACACTTAACGAGGATGATTTTCAAGTCAACATCATAGCATTGGAGTGCTTTAAAGGAGTTAAAGATCAAGAAGGGTATATTAGCAATTTAGCTATTTAGGCTAGTCTTATAATTTAGGTCTACTTAGCTTCCTTTACTAGCTAAGAGTATTTTGGTTATTTCTCCGAAATAGCATTCTAGTATATATAGTCCATTCCTCTCATTTTGAAAGAAAGTTTATGATGATGGATTGATAAATAAATAAATACCAAACCTTGAGAGGTTTAGGGTATCTTTATTTTTTCTTTGTTTACCATATTTTCTAGATTATCTATATTAGATTAATCATGTATGAGTTCATATTCATACTCTTATATTATCTTTTTTATTTGAATGTTACTTTGTTGCTCTAGTTGATATATCTACAAGGGGCTTTGAATTGCATTCTTTGCTTAGCCGTAACGACTCGACCTCATTTTGAGATTTAGTGTTCCGTTTAGTTGTCTGAGATCTTGAGTAGCTTCATATGATTTATCACGACTTGTGTGTATGATTAGTTGATAAAGGATAAAAAATGCATGTGTTTGAGTGTGTTTGTGTGTTATTTCTTATGTGAGTTACGGGAGTTCACACCGCTTTTGAAGCTAAAATATGCTCATTACGTGTTTCTTATATGTAGGAATAAACTTATGAGGAAAAGGATCAAATAGGGAAAAAATTAGTGAAAAAAGAGCTGAAAAGAAAAGTCCCCGACAGCAAAACGAGATTCACTTCGCTAGACCGGGACTGGAGCAGAAGAACCAACTTCTCCAATCCAAAACATAATAAGGAAAATTCGCCTCATACAAATCCTAGTCACTGTAAATATATCCTAAAATGTGCTTTTGAGAGAGAGAGACTGCTTTGGAGGGAGAGAAGACTTGGGAGAGGCAAGAACACGCTTGGAGCAAGGAGAGTGATTCAACTTCATGTTTTCCCCTCTTTCTTCATATTTTTCCATTGTTATGAATTCTAATTTTGTAGTTTTATATACTGTCATGAGCAGCTAATTTCTTATCTAGGGTTTTGATGGAACCTTTTGGAGGATGAATTCTTGTTATGTTTTTATATAATTGAGTCTTTGAATTTCTCTACTTGTTTAACTACGTACTTATTTCAGTTGATTGAAGAGCTCTCAACCGACTGTGCATATTTAGTATATATTGCTTCGAAAAGGTTACATATTTAGGTAGTTGTTGAACAACATCACTCCTAACGTATGTGAGGAATCAATACGGAGGGTTTAAAGGTGAGATTAGGAATAGCGAAACTTTGGTGCGATCTTAGTGAGCAGTGAATTAGTGCTAATTAGCGTAGTTCAGAAGAATGTCTAGTAAATTATGGAAGTTGCTCGGAAGAGAATTACGACACCCGAAGTACTCACGATCGGTAGAGAATACTTAGGCGAATTTATAGGAGATGTAGTTTGGAGGATTCCGACGATTGAAAAAATCATAACCCTATCCAATCTTATCTCCAACTCCTAGTCTGGTTAGTTGATAATTTTACTGCTTTTAGTATTTATTAATTAATTAGTTTATAATAATAATATAATCTTATAGCTAATAAATTATTTGAACTTGTATTTCTTAGCAATATTGAACATTTATAATGAAACCTTAGTTCTCTATGGAATTCGACTCCGGACTTTTAGACCGAATTATATTTGCAACGACCACTTATCCTTTTTAGGACTAGAGTTGGGCGTGATCAAAATTTTAAACCTCTCATATCTTTGTTTGGGCTAGTGAGTATCTATATGTTGATGTGCGTAATGAAGAAAGGCCTAAATGTATATGGTTTCATGGCAAGACATCGAATTGGTCATGACAAAAAGGTGCTTAAAAGTAAAGTGTAGTGTATTAAAGTGCTTGGGAGGGTTACTCACTATTTTCTCAAATATATCCTACCCATCCCTTAGCCTACATTACAACCTATAAAATCCTACTTGATCCTAGACTTTGCGAGCTTAAGTTAGTAGAGACTTACATTATGGGCAAGCATATGGTACGAACTTGGGTGGCATAAAAAGTTTATTTATGAGAGTGAGAAAATTCTTCCGATTTGAGAGTCCTTAAAATATGCTTGAACTTATATTGAGTATGTGGGCTACTTTCTCTGTGGTTTGTTGGTGAGGGCACATGATTTGCAAAGAATTGGTAGATACCTTAATTTATGAGTTGGCACAAGAAGCGAGTCATAGTGTGCAATGCATTGGAGTTAAGTTTCGAGGCTAGGATATTAGAAAGAGTCACATGAATATTTTAAATAATCTTGGCATGAGTTTAAAACTTGAGGAAATGTATGAAGAGTGCATATGATGGGTTTTAGACATTGATATAAACCATTGTCATTGATGTGATGCTTGACGTGACACCCCGTTAATTTTCATAATTCATTTTAGAACTATGATAGTCCATTGTTAGATTTAGTCATATGAAATTTTTGGAGATAGTGAAATTCATTCAATTAACATTACGAATATTTGGAAGTGAGGTTTGAATTATTAGAAAGGACTATTAAGTTATTGTCTTAACTCGAGTTTCTTATTTAAAGAGAATTGTTAGAAATACTTATAGAGACAATTATACTTATTTAGTTCACAAGTGGATGGATAGATATGTATTTACATCTAGAAATAATATTTATATATTGAAGGATATGAAAAAGAAAAAAAAAATATATCACTTGAATTGGTTGGTGGCTAGTGAGCTTAATTTATAATTGTGCATGTTAGTGGAAAATGAATTGCTTTCGAATCATGAATAATTGTGAAGTGGGCTAAGCCCATATCTTTCTTGCTGCTAAGTAGGACCTAGGTGTAGAATAAGAGTAAACAAAAGTCTTGGATCATAAGAAAAAACAAAAGCACACATAAGGATCATCTATGTTGCTTCAGTGATCAGTGGGAAAAAAAAAGGAATTAAAAGAATCCCATATGAAACAAATCAATTGGGTTCCCTGCAAACATAAGAAATCAAAGAGGAATGGGAGGGGTGAGTGCTTGGCACTAGCAGCAGCAGTGAACGGAGAAGCCAACAAAGGGGGAAAGAAAAACTGACAACGTTTTAAATCAGATTACCAACTGAGAAATCTCAAGTACTCATTGATAATTTCGGGTAATTACTTAAAACTCCAAAACTGAGTTTTCCAGTAGAATTCTTTTAATTTTGCTTCGTGTGTTATAGGATTTCATTGTGTATAATAAGTTACTACTGATTTGGATGCTAGAACAACCATGAAAAAAAATAGAATAGAACAAAAAAGTAACAAACTAATCGTTTTGGATCAGAAATATATTCCAAATTGTTTGGGTGTAACAGCAAAGATGCTAAATTCATATATTGTATTCTTGTAAAGCTAATACGAAGAGATAGACAAGTAAACCTATTGTTTACTATTTCTTGCAAGTTCCTAGTATACTTCGCAGAAGCTGAAAGATATTGAGAATACAAACGTGAATTTGCGATAGATATTTATTTATGGATATGGATTATGGAGTTGATGGGAGGTAACATTAGACATGTGTTAATTTATAGGTTTCACACAGTTTGAGCATTAGGATTGAGAGAAGTCTTCTAGCTTTGATTAGTTTGCATAGACAGATGGAGGCAATTAAATGCCGTTTGGTTGATGTTTTGGATGTTGCAAGGTTGGGGTACATTCTGTTAGTGAGGTAAGTGAGACTTTAAGTTTTAATGCTTGCTTTTTTAAAATTCGTTTTGAAAATGTGTTTTTCTCTGCCTGGTCCATGTGTTGAGACAAGTGTGCGCTTGACAGAATTGATGGTCTTAGATTGGCCGCAAATATATTATTAGGACAAATGTCCAAATATGCCCTTGTACTATACGAAATTTAGCGCATTTGCCCTTCGTTAATACTTTAGCTCAAATATGCTCTTACCGCCACATAGTTGGTCCATATATACCCTTAGAGTTACACAGTTGACCCATATATGCCCTTTTTCGAAACGAAATTCACTCAAACTAATTAACTCTTTCGTTAATTGTATTAAAATGTATTACAAACACTATTTCCTTTTTATTAGTACTTTTTTCTTTACCTTTCTCTTTCCTTTCTTCTTTTTTCTTTTCTTCTCTTTTTTTCCCTTTTTCCTTCTCTCTTATCCCTTTCCTCCATTACTGATATCTTCTCCATTTTCGTCACCAATTTCACTTGACAAAACTCATGAATTTCAATTACTAAAAATAATTCTCCCATAAGATAATCAAGTTTCAATTTCACTAGCCCTCTAAATAAACGAAATTAAATAGTTCCAAAAATTATGGTTTAAACTTTGAAATAATAAAAACATCTCAACCTTTAACAATACTCAAAAGACCAAAATATTTAAATTATTTCCAGAAAGATAATTTAATGATTAAAATCCTAGAGTTCAAGTTGTAGTGTTATAAATTTGAGTTGTTAGTCTTTTTTCATCTTTTTTTAGTTGGACATTTTCTATTTTTTTATTAACTATGTAAATTAGGAGTGTACATGGAACGAGTTGGTTCGATTTTTATCAAAACCAAACCAAACCAATTATATCATTTTGGATTGTTCGGTTTTGTTGGATTTTTTGATTTTTTGTTACATAAATATTATTTCAATCTTACTTTGTTAAATTTTTTAGAACTAAATATATGTTCAGTAAAAATTTAAAAAATTGACAAACATATGATCTATTAAAATATTCTTATACGAGAATTTTCTTAATAATTGGAATTCATGAGTTTTGTCAAGTGAAATTGTTGACGAAAATGGAGAAGACATTAGTAATGGAGGAAATCGGATAAGGGAGAAAGAAAAAAGTACTAATAAAAAGGAAATAGTGTTTGTAATACACTTTAATACAATTAACGAAAGAGCTAATTAGTTTGGGTGGATTCCGTTTTGAAAAGGGCATATATGGACCAACTGTGTAACTCTAAGGGCATATATGGACCAACTATGTGACGGTAAGGGCATATTTGAGCAAGTATTAACGAAGGGCAAATGTGCTCAATTTCGTATAGTACAAGAGTATAAATGGACATTTTACGATATTATTATATGAAAAATATAAATAAAAAAATTATTTTATAAGTTGTTTGATGGCTTGATACGGCTGTGAGCCATGATGTTGAGTTTGATATTTTGATACGGTTGTGAGCCATGAAGTTGAGTTTGATATTTTGATACGGTTGTGAGCCATGATGTTGAGTTTGATATTTTGATACGGTTGTGAGCCATGATGTTAGGGCATTGTGTATGCGCTTGTACATCACCCGAGCATTGTGTATGCTTCTTGATATATGTATTTGGGGCATTGTGTATGCTTTAGTGAGCATTGTGTATGCTCCGTTACAATATTTGAGGCATTGTGGTGCTGTTGTGGACTCGTAAAGGTGTTGGTTAATTTTTTTCACTACAATTATGATAAGTCCTTAGTATGTATTGTATTAAGATATATGTACTCTTATTGGTTAATTCTTTTTAACTCTATTAATACATATATATTGAATTATTATATAATCATCGTATTTATTATATCGTTCTTGTTGTGGTGTGTTTGTATTTTTTAACACTTGTTTCAGAAATATTCAAAGTGGTGGGTCGAGGATCTTACTGGGTTATATTTATGTATAACTCACTCCTTACCTGCATCTTTATGCAGATACCATTGCGGGAGATAGAGCGAGTGGCTGACGAGTTCGTTCGAGTGGATCCTATTGCTGAGGTGAGCCACCGCATTATTCGTGGAGGCTTTCGTTTTAGCTTTATGTAGTTCGTGTTAGTTAATTTCCTTTTCCTTGGGGTTGTTCATACCTGCTAATTAAATTCATATTACTCTGTTAAATGCTTCATGGTCTTAGAGTGAGATTTGGGCTAGAGTTTTATATATTGAGTGATTGTTGGTTTTTTTCTATCAATTGACTAATGTATTGGTTGATAACTATTTCGTCTTTAATTATTAATAATACTTTGAGATCTGCACTTACTTTTTTCTTGGTGTTTGTTTAAATGGTTAAATGTATGAGAAATGGATTCACCTGACAGGTAGTGTTAATTGAGTGCTAATCACGTCTAGGGGGTAGTTTGGGACGTGACACTTGAGTATTTTTTAAAAGGTATTTCTTGCCTATGCGCTTAATTTTAAGTTGTTCAAGGACGAGCAAGAGTTTAAGTGTGGGGTGGTGATAAAGGATGAAAAGTGTATGTTTTGAGTGTATTTGTGTGTTATTTCTTGTGTGAGTTACGGGAGCTCACACAACTTTTGAAGCGAAATATATGTTCATTACGTATTTCTTATGTGTAGGAACAAACTTATGAGGAAAAGTATCAAATAGGAGAAAAATTAGTGAAAAAAAAGCCGAAGAGAAAAGTCCTCGACAACGAAGCTAGGTTCACTTCGCCAGACCGGGACTAGAGCAAAAGAACCAGTTTCTCCAATCCGAAATAGAAGAAGGAAAATTCGCCTCATACAAACCCTAGACACTATAAATACATCCTAAAATATGATTTTGAGAGAGAGACACTACTGTGTAGGGAGAGAAGACTTGTGAGAGGCAAGAACACGCTTGGAGTAAGGAGAGTGATTCAACTTCACGTTTTCCCCTCTTTCTTCCTACTTTTCCATTGTTGTGAATTCTAATTTTTTATTTTTACATACTAGCATGAGTAGCTAATTTCTTATCTAGGGTTTTGATGGAATTTTTTGGAGGATAAATTCTTGTTACGTTTTTATATAATTGAGTCTTTGAATATCTCTACTTGTTTAACTACGTGCTTATTTCAGTTGATTGAAGAGCTCTCAATTGACTGTGCTTATTTAGTATATATTGCTTGAAAAAATGGTACATATTTAGGTAGTTGTTGAACAACATCACTCCTAATATATGTGAGAAATCAAAACGGAAGGTTTAAAGGTGGGATTAGGAATAATAAAACTTTGGTGCGATCTCAGTGAGCGGTGAATTAGTGCTAGCTAGCGTCGTTTGGGAGAATATGTCTAGTAAATTATGATAGTTACTCAGAAGAGAATTACGACACCCGAAGTACTCACGATCGGTAGAGAATACTTAGACGAATATGTAGGAGATGTAGTTTGAAGGATACCGACGATTGAGAAAATCATAACCCTAGACATTTCCAATATTGTTTCCAACTCTTAGTCTTGTTAGTTGATAATTTTACTGTTTTTAGTATTTATTAATTAATTAGTTTAAAATAAAAATTACAATCTTATAGTTAAGAAATTATTTGAACTTGTATTTCTTAGCAATATTGAACAGTTATAGCGAAACCTTAGTTCTCTGTGACATTCGACTTCAGACTTTTAGACCAGATTATATAACTCGACTTGCGTGTATGGTTGGTTTTGATGTCCGAGTGGATCGGGATTTGATTTGGGAGAGAAATTTTCATATATGAAAGTTTTAAGCTGAAGAGTTGACCAAGGTTTAGCTTTTATATAAACGGTCTCGGATTTGTGTTTTAATAATTCCAATAGGTTCGTATTGTTATTTTGAACTTATGCATATGTCCGCATTTTTATTTGGAGGTTCCTAGGTTGATTCGGCTTTTTTTGGCGAAAGTTAGCAATTTGAAGGTTTAAGAATTTCATAAGTTTGACCGGGAGTTGACTTTGATAATAACGGGTTCGGATTGTTGCTTCAGAAGTTGGAATATGTTCGTGACGTCATTTGGTACTTGTGTGCAAAGTTTGGTTTCATTCTATGTTGGTTTGATAGGAATCAGACGCTTGGTTGTGATTTTGGAAGTTCTTGAGTTTCATTGTGATTTTGATCCATTTTGGTGTTCGATTCGTGGTTTTATATGTTATTTTGATGAGTCTAGCGCGCGAGCAAGTTCGTATGAGGTTTATGTACTTGTTGGTTATGGTTTTCTCGCTTTTGCAATGAGGATGTCGCAAATGCGACCATCGCATTTTCGAAGGTGTGGTCACAAATGCGACTCATGTCTGCTGTGAAGAGACCTCGCATTTGTGAGGATTGTGTCGTATTTGCGACTGGTCGCTTGGGGAGGGACTTCGCATTTGTGAAGTATTCTGTCGCAAATGCAACATTTGTTGCGGAGGTCGCATTCGTGAACCCATGGTCGTAAATGCGACATCTGCAGTTGGTTATATGATGTGTATTTCGGGACTTAGGCTTATTTTATAACATTTTGAGATTGAGAGCTCGGTTTGTAACAACCCGGCCGATCGTTTTATGTATTGTAATCCCTTTCCTCTATTTATTGCCTCTTATATTTTCATTTATCGTTGTCTGACTTGTCTGGATGGTTGGATCGCTTTCGAGGAAGTTTCAGAGTAAATTGGGACACTTAGTCCCAAAGTTGGAAGCTTAAGTTGGAAGAATTGACTAGAGTTAGACTTTTGTATAGACGACTCCAGAATGGTGTTTTGATAATTTCAATAGCTTCGTATAGTGATTTTGGACTTAGGCATATGTCCGGATATTGATTTGGAGGTCTGTAGGTTGATTTGATGCTTTTTGGCAAAAGTTGAAAAGTTGAAAGTTTGGAAGGTTGAGAGGTTTGACTGAGAGTTGACTTTGTTAATATCGAGTTCAAATTTTGGTTCAGGAAGTTGGAATAGGTCCGTTGCGTAATTTGGGACTAATGTGCAATATTTGAGATCATTCGGATTTGATTTAATATGGTTCGACATGAGTTTTAGAAGTTGGAAGTTCATTAGTTTCATTAGGCTTGAATTGGGGTGTGATTCGTGGTTTTGATATTGTTTGATGTGAAGTGAGGCTTCGAGTAGGTTCGTATTGTGTTTTAGGACTTGTTGATATGTTTGGATAGGGTCTTAGGTATGTTTCGTGTTGAGATCAGATCATTTTTGGACTTTGAAGGATTGCTGAAGCTTGGAAGTTCCGGTGCAATCGCCCCTGCGAGGGATTAGCCGCAGGTGCCACAGAAGCGGGCTAGGCCGGCATTGGGATATAGCGCATATGCGAGGTTTTGACCGTATCTGCAAGCCCACAGATGCGGGAGATAGGATGCAGAAGCGGAGGATGGTCGGGTAAGGCAGGGATCGTAGATGCGGATGCGCGCGAAGGTCCGCAAATGCGGACTTGGATGGGAGCATGTGAGTTCACAGGTGCGGAGTCGCAGAAGCGGTCTCACATGTGCGGGAAGAGACTGTAGGTGCGAATGGTCGAGACTTAAGTGAATCTCGCAGATGCGAGAATTTGACCGCAACTGCGGTACCGCAGGTACGGTGATTTGGACTGCAAATGCGAGAATCGCTGGGTAGATTTTATAATCGAGGGTTTCATTATTTTTCTTATTTTAGGAGTTTTGGAACTTGGCTAAGGGCGATTTTTGCGAGACCTTTTGCTGCAATTGAAGAGGTAAGTAGAGATTATTCATTTTTTATGTTAGATATTGATTACCCATTGATTATTACACCTAGTTAATGTGAATTTGAATTAAAATTTGGGCAATTTAGGCTATGATATTGGAGAGGGAGATTTGGTGATTTTGGGGTCGATCTGTGGATGGAATTTGGATAAAATTAATATGGTTGGAGTCGTAATTGAATTGGTGTTTGAAATTTATAAATTTTGTTGGGTTCCAGGGTGCGGGCCCGGGGTTGACTTTGCATATTTGATTCAAGACCTTAGCTTTATCATTTGGAATTGTTTCCAATGGCTTTTATTGATGATATTAAGTTGCTTTGGCTAGATTCGAGTCGTTTGGAGGCGGATTCGCGTGGCAAGGGCTTTTTGGAGTATTGATTTAAGCGTTTTGAGGTATGTAACACATCTAAACTTGGATTTGAGGGTAATTATCCTTGGGAAGCATGTTATATGAGATGTATTGGGGTGACACACATGCTAGGTGACAGGCGTGTGGGCGTGCAGTGGAGTAATGATCCGAGTTGACTTTTTGACTATTACCAAACTTGTTTTGCTATCATACCTTGTTATATTCGTGTTTTCCCTACTTGTTGGATTATTTGAGTTGTGATTCATGTTAGCAATCATGTTTAGGTCATGTGATTATTCGGTTGATACCAAATGAGGCTATTTTTGTATTATTTTGAGCTATCCAACTTAACTGTAGTTATACACTCAGTCATGATTCTTCATTTGCATATCATATCCCAGTCTCCGTGCATTATTCATTGTTACATCACATGTTGTTGATATCTTTCCATATGTGAAACTGTTTGGGTTGCGTGATATGATATTGTGAGCCTTGAGACTTGAGAGGTTGATGACTGAGGTGGGCCTTAGAACCGTGTTGACGGTGTTATTTATATCGGGTTGCACGTTGTAACATGCCATATTGGCTTCTGATAACGCTTGGGCAGGATCCTCTCCTCCGGAGTCTGACATGCCACTAGTGAGCGCATACACAATGATATATACATGTGCTTTGGTGAGAGGGATTGATGCTTGACACCCGTACAGTGCTGAGTGATTATGTGTGTGTGATGAAGTGGGCATTTGAGTTAGGCACTTTGAGTGTGCTGAGAGTGAGAGTACTTGAGGATATCACTATGAAATCATGAACTTGACATATATATTTGACATGTAGGCATAAAGATGTATTTTTCTCATGATAGCTAGTAAATGAAATTGTTCTTATCCGTGTTGGACTGTAACTGTTATATTTCGAAGCATGTCTAATTTCTTTTGATGTGAACTACCTGAATATGATAATTCCTTTGAGCTATTTACTATTATTGTCATCATTATACCCTGTGTTGTTATTGATATTGGTCTCTAACTGTTTTATCTAAGCTTGTCACTGCTTTTATCCCATGGTTATGTTTGTTACTTATTGAGTACATGGGGTCTGTTGTACTCATACTACACTCTGCACTTCATGTGCAAATCCAGGCACTTCCGA